AACTCCCGACAGGTCGTGTTTCCCCACAGGTCAGACATTTCCGTCAGAGCAGCGGAGCCTCAATAAATCTATAAATGTGCTCAGTTTGGTCATCAACAAAAGGCAATCTGATAGTCGATTGCCCAATCAACCGCACCAAAGGCTAGACGCCCGCAATGAATCTTCACCGAGAACCCCTCAATGATCAGTCGTATCACCCTGCATCAGTCGTATTACTCTGGACGACAATTCGTCGAGAACTGCCGCATGTGGACCAGTAGGCAATCGTTCGCCTCGTTTTCTCATGCAGGTTGCATTTCCCCGCCACGTCGTCGAATAATACCACGTCGTAGAACTGTGACTGCAACGACAGTTGGCCCACTAGTGTCTCGGTGGCTGACCGGCCAATCCTTGATTGGGCTGATGGTGAGAATCGTGTGATACATGTACTTGCATCATGCCGGGCTGACTGCTGCCTGGCCCCCACAACTTGAGGCTGGAAAAGTCTGCGGCCAAGTATAAACGAGGGCATCCCAAGTATTCTGCGGGGTATCTTCCACACCCTCGACAATCCTTCTTCAGTCAAGATGTCCTACCCAGAGTCCCGAGTCATGCAGATGAAGTTTGGAGGCATCATCGCCAACCTGGAAGGGAGGAATATCACCTTTCTCCCTGAAGACCTCCTCGCAAACAGCACCTTGGCTGAGCTCAACACGCGAGTCAGGCGCCTCGAAACCCATCATGCCATCACTCTCGCCCCTCCTAGCTTGGCCACGACCTGGGACTCGCTGGCATTGCGCATCTGCCGAGTGAAGCAGAAGACGGATGTAGCCTATCCTACCAAGGGAACGATCGACAGCGACTTTGCTTCCATGGTTCCCGACAACTTGGACATTTCCATCGACACACTGCAGACGCTTTGCTCGGACCTTGCCAGATATCATCCATCAGCACCGGCGCCTTCGTGGCCAAAATGCGCCCATGATGATGAGATGCTGGATGTCATCAGGCAGAGGCTGTGCCACACCGCTGGAAGAAACAGAATTGTCGTGACTCCAATTCCCATCAGCCGGTTGGACGTTTATGCCCAGCTCGTTGGCGTTACCCTCAAGCTTGAAGAAGGAGAATTGCCCTACATGCGGGGGATACCTGGAGCCTTACCACCTGCTCCCAAAAAGGCATGCTGCGGTTGCTGTCTTTGCACATGCCACACTTCTCCTCCAAGGAACCAAGGAATCTATGTTCATGAGAGTAGAAGGGCCCCCCGAAGCTACGGCTACGGCAGTGAAAGGGAAGTGCCAAAGCGCAAGACCTTTGGATTCGGATGGCTTAAGGGATTGGCCTTTTGGCGGCGATCCAAGGTTAACGATGATGCGTCATCGTACACAAGCCGAACAGGAAGCACCATTGTAGACCGCTACTAGAAGGGTGGTCGCTAAGATGGAATTGTTGAGGGATTCTCTAGCCTAGTTTTAATTGGATTTCTTTCGCTCTCCAGATTTGCTGCATCCCTTCAACCAATTGCGTACGACATCCGTAGCACAAGCTTTAGCTAACCAAAGTCTACCATTCCAAAACGACAAGACGCGGTACCATACCTTTAGTAACAAAGTCCAACCATATCCCTGGGTCATGGCATATTATGTGAGGACAGAAGAGCGCACCCGTTGGTTGAAGAATGCGCGTATTAATTTAGTGATTAACCATGCAAATGACAAGGGTCGCTATTTCTGCATGGATTGATGAGCCAAACCCTTTCTTGGCCAATGAAACACCCATCATTGACTGGGTTCCAGTACCGGGAATAACCGCCCATGAGCTGTTATCATTTCATGCCATCAAAAATCAGCCAACGCGTCTAAAGTACACCGCCATACCTCACTCATAATCACAACGGTCCACGCGTCAAGTCAAAATCGCAATGCTGGGCTTTCTGAGGCCAGTGAGGAGTCTAGTGAAGACGCTCGTCCTCATTTCCCTCCCCGTCACGATTTTACCCTTCTTAAACGGCCTTATCGAAGGCGTTTTCGTTGGAAACTATTTGTTGGAAACCGGATATGCTTCGGTCCTCTATTTGCAGCAGGACCTCGCAGCAAAGGATTTTGCCGAACATCTCACTGTCTCTGGTCATCGCGTTGTTGACGCTGTTATTCCACCGTTTCACGTCCTAAGGCTTCATGATCCTACAGACTGGTGGGAAAGGTTGGGCCTGGAGCGGCTTGATTTTGACAAGGAGGCCTATCCTCCCTATGGGAGTCCCGACCCAACAAGTTTCGCAAGTTTGCATGGCTTGCACCGACGAGTGACCGACCCTGAAGAGGAACCATGGCATCATTGGGTGTATGCTTCTGCGCAGCCATGGCACATGGAAGGGCTTCTTATGGATGGGTGGGATACGGCATTTGAAGAGCTGATCCGATACCACTACGCCAATCCATCTGTCGCATCCGCCAGCTTCAAGTACATTTCCTGCCCAGAGAGCTTTCTTTGCGCGTCTTGGAGGGTCCATGGACCAGCCTTGTTGCATTTCACCACAGAAGGAAAGGTGGAGGACCAGGTTCCCAATTACGACGCAGTTACCGTCCGCATTATCGAATTTCCCCTCAAAGAAAATCCGATGCTGCCTGGTGTCTTTCCGAGTTATTTCAACCAACTGAAAGCCGTGACGGAAGACGTCGGTTGGGCATCTCATTTGCCCCAGTCCGAGTTTAAACAGTTCTTACGTCGATATTCCGAGGTCTGCGAGAATTCAGAACTTGCCTACCCTCGCTCATATGGACGGCTAGCCAAGTTGGAACGAGCTGTGCTCTGGACAATGAGCTTCGAAAATTCGTTCTCGCCTAAAGTTGCGCGTTTTATCGCCATCTGCTTATCGGGCGCGAGCAGAATTCTTGGCTATCGAGCCTTGAACAAAATTCTCGACCTTTTGGGGTACAACACGCTTGAACAACCTCCACCCCCCACAGAAAAAAATGATGATGAAATCTTGAGGGCTGAGCAGTTGAGATTCCTTTTTGCTTCCCTGGAAGATGATACAAAAGAAGAAATAATGTCCGCTTTCGAGGGAACTGAAGCTTTGAACGCGTTGTTGGATACCTTCAAAAGGCTGTCAAAGGAGAAAGACGAGCAAGAAGGTGTTGAGGAGTGATGATGGAATAAATAAAATTATATAGAGGATCTATTTAGCTCAAACTCTTCTCAATTGCGGACATGATACTATTTCTCCAGTCTTGTCCTAAAAAGAGCACTCGATGTTTGACTCTCTGAAGGCCTGCTTCAGCAATGCCTGCTTAGTTTCGAGTCCTGGAAATTCGACCTTGCGGAGGCTCGGGAAGTATACTCGGGTCTTGGTAGCCAGTTCAAAGATGTCGTCCCACATATGGTCTGGGCAAGATGTAAGTCGAAACGATTGAATTGTCGGGGGTAGAAGGTTCAAAAGTCCAACTGTCGGAGAAGGGTGATCAGACCTAGTAGCCATGATATTTTTGCTGTCGATGGTTAAACTCTCGAGAGCCGTCTTGTTGAGATTGTCGATCAAGTGGGAAATCGGTAGACAAAACGCAGGGTCAACGGCAAGGACGAAATGTCGAAGGGTATCGCGGCGGGTCATAATGGCTTGTTCGATTTGAGACGGTGTGGCATCGGTATTCTCTAAAAGAGCAAACTGGGGAGTTCTGAAAGTGAATGATGCAAGCTTGGGAAACGCCCTCATGGTTCTTCGGAAATCGTCTCGTGCCATGACGCTGCGCTCCAAAACCAATGTCCTGATGTTGCTATGCTCAGACAGAGCCGCCACAGCACCAATCCCACAAGCTTCGATTGTTTGGAGATTGGGTGCTGATTGCAAAATATTCTTGACTGAATTAAGCGAGACCTGACTGGATCTGTATCGACATATCAGGGTGAGGTGTCGAAGACGAGGTAGCCGGCACGGTCGCAGAAGGGGGACCGGTTCATTGCATAACGCAAGCTCGAGGAATTCCAAGTTGGGAGCCAGGCAAATAAGAAGCCCAAGCTGAATCAACTTGAGATCTTTGCGGAGAAAGTTTCTGTCGATACCGCTTCGGTCAACGTGGCTCGTCAGACGTTCCTGTACTGGCTGGTCATGAATGAATTTGTCTGCTAATTGGTTAAGGAACGCCATAGCATCAAGGTCAAGCTCACCTACCGACCAAAAGTTGGTGACCGAGCCAAGCTCTTTGACGTGGGATGCAATGTCGGGTCTTTGGGACAATGTTTTCAGTAGTGTGAGGGTTTGAGGACCTCGAGTAACGGGGAAGTGGTATAGAAATGGCCTAGCAACGTTGCGCAGCCACCTACATGAACGTGAAAGATTTGCCAGGGCGCTGAGTCGAGGCGGGCTCAACTCTTGGCGTCGATGCTGCCAACAAGGATCGAGACGTGATAATGGAGCTGTCCAAGGAGGGGTGCAGTGCGGGCACAACTGCTGGCAAATAGCCACCAGCAGTTCGGGGGGCATTTGTTGAAGGGAACACATGAATGAGTATAATGACACCAGTAAATGGCATGGCAGGGGGAATCAGAAGGCTCCGGCGTCCTCTTATATGCAATCAGGCTGTGAAGGTTCAGCAGCATCGCCTCCAACATTAATTAAGCGTTTCGTAGCAATTGACAAGTTCTTCGTCACCTAATTACAGTGCGTAGATACCCATCATTCGAAAGCTCCACCGGGGCAAAAACTCAGCCTCCAGGCAGCAGTGGAACTCAAGCTTACCACCAGAAATGCCCAGAATAATGTTCAGCCCCAGTTTATTGAGTTGGATACTGCGCCTTACTGCGTGTAGCGTATGTCACCAGACCATGGGACGAGTAGCAGTTGCCCTCGACCGTGAATCTGCTTGCTGTCCTTTCCCTGATTTATGGAGCTTCAACTTTATAATTTACCTTTTAGAGAATCAGAGGTTCAAAAGCGTCCCGTACTTGTGTGGTGTTGATTCATGGCACTCATGTTGCACAGCCGGCAGGGTATCGAGTTGATATACGCGAGCAGGAATTCAACTGGCTTCATGGTCTAGTGGTATGATTCGTGCTTTGGGAGTTCTGCTCAACTGTACGAGGCCCCGGGTTCGAACCCCGGTGGAGCCCTGATTCATCTTTTTGCCTCTTGAATCCCAGATATTACCGAACTGGAAGCCCAGACATTCCATGCAATGTGGTTGATCTCGCTGAATTCTCTGTCTTTTAAAGAACAAGTGAAATCGCTTACTCAACCACCAGTGTCTTGGTCAATTTGTGTGATGACGGGCTTGTGTTTGACCGAGCCTAAAAGAGATGTAAAGATTTGTAGGTTAAGCCGTTGAGGGGTTGAAACCATGGACATGATGGCTATTCCTGATTAAACCTTCGTGCTGGTTGAGAATTATCTGACAATAAGACGCCTAAAATTCACTTGCGGAAGCCTCTAGTCTCATCCTAATTCTGAACCACCATTTTCCCTTTTCCTTTGGGGTCATCCTTGGGCTTAGGAAGGTTCTTCTTAGGCTCAGACGGGCCATCCTTGGGCTTGGGAGGGGTGCACGTCCAGCAGCGCGCAGAGTCAACGTCGTTCTCCACGGTAACCTCATGCTTCGAGCAGCTGATTTTCTGTGTCTTCTTTTGGCAGATTTGCCAACGGAGATCTACAAAAATACAGTCTCTGCACGCGGAACATAGGAATTTGGATTCAATAAAAGTGCACATTCCAGCGATGCCGACTTGGTATGGGAAAGAGACTAGGATTCGGGTTCCTTGATGGTGGATCGGTTCTTGGGGCAATGCTCATGTATTTATATAAATACACTTGTCTGATTCACTCACTTCAGGAATGCGTCTTTGTCACCAGTCCGGCAGTCCAAGCGTCCAAGAATACGCCAACCCTGCCTTATTCCTGCGCGACTTGCCGCTACCCATGGACTCATCGGACTGATCTTTGTCATGGGCGCAGTCAATAAAGACAGTGCGAGTTTCTTTACACCGAGAAATTTCGTGCAATATTATAGTCAAAGCAGATTATTCTGATGCTTCCCGAGATCAGATACCTTGACATTACGCGTGTAATCAATGCTAGATATGACTTGATCACCCCACGTGTAGTCCATACACTGTCGTGAACAGAAACCTGAATTATTTTTGAGTAACGGAGGGAGCACGTTATGCAATGAGGCTAGCAACCAAACGACTTGAAAAAGAAGACAGACCATGGTAGCCACACATCTGTCGTACTGAGGTGGAGAAGCATGGTATTAAATTGACTTAGGCCTCTAAATAAACCATGCTAATGTCAAGTAACAGTAAATGGCTATTGTGCTGCATGACTCATAATCCCCAAAGATTCCTCTTGATATCCGCTCAAGTATATAAACTAACCTTGCATATATAGCTTAATCTTGCAGGGATAGCATTTACTACTGGTTCTGTCCGGTTGTGGCTTCTTTATCGTGCCACAGGAACCTATTTCCTTGCTCTTGGTGTTGCGTGCCGTGTCGCATTTGTAAGTTACATTTTGAGAGAATACCGTGTCACCACACACCCCACAAAGGTAAGAGATTTCGCCTTGGACACACATTATGTGAGTGAAGTTTATGTGGCTTGAGGTTGGTTGTTGGTAATAGAGAAGTGATGGTTCAGTTCTTGTGAAGGAGAAGCTAAATATTTATGCACATTTATCCCAGTGAATTTATGCATGGTTTGGGTTCCAAATGATGGTCTTTCTGGACAGCCGCCGGAAGAAAGCAGTGAATAGATGATTTTCTTTTCGATTGACCCTAGGTTCAGATCCTAAACTCAATAGTTTCCAAGCCATCCTCTTAGATTCGTTGGATTATCGTCGGAGGCGTAACCTCGCAGATAGAGCACACTATTGTGCCCACGCCTGGCTTCGTCACATTTCCACAGGACCCTATTTCCTTACTCTCAGTGCCAAGTGCAGCCTCGCATTTTTTGCTGACGTAGTCTGTTGATAAACGTCGGCGGCACTTCGAGCAGTCAACCCAGGTCTGGCCTTGGGAGCACATGGTTGTTGATAATGTCGAGGAGGGTAGTGGTTGAATAGGTTGTGTTTTTAGTTTCTAGACAATACCGTCAAGGTAAGAGGCTGCCTATTTATCTGTGTTGGACGCTGGTGAATTATTGTCGTGGTAGTCGTTAATAAGAGCATGATAATTTTATCATTAATTCACATCAATGATATAAACGGTGACTAGCTTATTTTCTTGCTTAATTACACAAATCATTTCTTGTCCTTGGGGTTTGGCTTCGTAAGCTCCTCAAGCTTACACGATGGACACAATGTAGATCTGTCCGGCGGCGGCTTTGTTAGCGTGCCACAGGAACCTGTGCGCTTCGATTTGGTTTTGCATGCTGTCTCGCATTTGTCGAGTTTATACCCAGTCGTGCACACCCAACTGCACTTCCTGCAATAGAACAAGGCTTCGCCTTCAACACACATGGTGGCGAGTGACTTTTCAGTTGTGAGAAGAATGAGATTTGGAAGGCAGTGTGATCTTGGAGTTTAGCTTGGGCAGTTGGATAAGAGGAGCTGCGTATTTATAGACGATCAGCATGTGTCACTGAGCAATGTCACAAGAAACACGAATTTTCGAAGTTGGTTTGTATCTATTCAATGATACTTAGAGAGTTTCATTCCTCAACTTGGGTATTTTGTCGATCTGAGAGGCACATTTAGGGCAGGCCTTGCTCCAATCTGCCGCCGGGGTATTCTTCGTGCCACAGGAGCCCACTTTCTTTCCCTCGGTCTTTAGTGCAGCAGCGCATGCTTCGCTTTTCCATACATTGTTATACGTCCCACCGCAAATCTTGCAGTAGACCCAAGTGAAGCCTTCGATGCACATGGTTGAGTTTCTTTGGGGATAGTGGTTGTTGAAATGTAAAGCGAAGCAATGAGTTAAATTGAAGGTCAAATCAAGTCGGGTTGGGTCGTGGTGTGGGCACATAGATATACCCGTCCGACGTTTGTGAATGAATGCTTCCTGGAATCAAGACATGGATTCACTTTCAGCAAGCACTTGAATTACATTGAATGGATCTGATATGCCTAAACTTAAATTGGGAACCTGCAATGATACTGTCTTGCCTTGTTACAACGTCTCATCGTCTGGCACCTTGTATCTCCCACGTCGCTCCCTCTTCTCGTGGCTCTAGCTTTAAAACCTCCCAATGATTGCATGACCTTTCTCTAGTGAATTTGGAACTTGGATCGTGATAGCCCGGAATTACTCAACATTGATACTATTATGTGTACACGCTTCTTGACGGTAAAACTATCATTATTGGACAATGCTTGATAATCTTCGGTGCAGGTCACGCCTACACTATATAAGCCTCACCAAAAATAATTCCCGACTTCTCCTTTCCAGTAATGACAAACTTTCAGTAGAGATCCAATATTTGCTTTTAATAGACTTAAGTCTTCAGTTTGGGGGCACACGCGCCGCACAACTTGCTCGTATCCCTCTCCGGCGAATTCATTGTGCCACAAGAACCTATTTCCTTCGACTCGGTTTGGCTCGCTACCTCACATATTTTTGATACCCACACGGTGTCAGACCGCAGATGACAATTCCTACATATTAACTGGAAGAAGCCCTGGACACACATGGTCAGCTTTGGTAATAGTTTTGGGAAGATGGTTTAGTTTAATATGTGAGTGATAGAATCTGGAGTTGGGCCCTTGGGTCGACGTTGGATATTTATGTATCTTCACGCTTGTGAATCAATGCTCAGTCACAACATAACATGTTGTCACTTGCTGATTAAATGGCGGGAAGTGATAGTAGCCTCCTTGCTATGACACGTCAAGTCGCCTTGCCCTTGCCCTTTTCTCGGGTCCTCCGACATAGACCACACTCAGCACTCTCCACTGCATCCCGACTCGTCACTTTGTTCTTACACCTCCCAAACCTATCCATTGACCCTGCGTCCTCGCAAGGTTCTTGTACCAACTGTCGCCCCAGATTTCTGTCGCAACTTTTGCAGACCTTCTTCGTCATCGTGTTCCAGCACATTTTGGGCGGTTGTTCAAATTTAGTAGAAGTTGAATGGGATGAGCAAATTGGACTTTGTGAAGATAATTCTACAACAGGCGGCATTCGAAGTTATATAGGTGGTGACCCGAGATATTTCGTTTAACACTGAAGTAGGGGGAGTGAAGCGTAGCTGGTCAATTGCGTGATGAAGCCTGTAGTGTTCTGAGGTGAAGCAGTGTAACTTGAGGGATTCCCAGGGCTGTTGCACACCGGTGTCTAGGCAGTGACTAGAGACAGCAGTGATCATCTTCGACCAGCGTTATGTGGGATTCAGAAATGGAGAAACTCCGGGTTTACAAAAGCCTGCCATTGAAACGCACCATGGCTTTCTCGCTGCCGATTCGCGTGTCGCAAGCCGTGGCGACTACGACCCCAAGCTGGCCCTCGCGTATGACTCTGGTGCAGGGAATGAGTCGTTCGGGTTCGGATGGAGCGTGCCGCTGCCGACGATCCATTACAAGACCGCGCATGGGATTCCACGGAACGTTGATGAGGACGACCTGGCCGTGTCTGAAGCAGATATTGTTAGACAGCTAAAGGAAGACGGCACGGCTAAAACGAGAGCCGAGTCGGGGCCAGGGCGAGTTCGAGTTACTATGTATCGTCTGCGAGTCGACTCTGGCAATATGCGAGTGAGAGGTGGTCCAGCAAGGTCAGCCCTGGCGACGTGCACTGGAGGACCATCACATCTGGCAATGAGACGACAATCTACGGCGACAGCGATGACCGCCGCATCCTGAACATTTCTGGCGGCTCATTGACCTCGGATACCATTGAGCTTTCTCTGAATATGTCGAGGGTCGTCTAAGGTCTGACTAGGGCGTCATGGTCTCGAGATCTCTATCGATCAAGATTCGGCCCTTTGCCACTCGAGCTGTCCCTGCGAAACTCTGCTAGAAAACAGTCCTTGATGAATTAGGTGAGTCAGGCGCCGGCTAAACATGGCTGCGACAAAAAGCAGGGGACCAGTAACAGATTCTGCCATTCGTGACCGCCTGGCCGCGAGGCACGTTGTAACAGAAAGGGCGGTATACGACCTTTCGTCCCCTCGTTCCTCAAGGG